ACGCAGCACCACAGTTTCTTTAGAAACTTACCCCCTTTACTCTCACAATGCCTCTCTCCACTCAGGGGTATAATTGGGTACCGGGGGTAACAAATAACCTTGTTACCCCCACCCACGCAGCACCACAGTTTCTTTAGAAACTTACCCCCTTTATTCAATTGTGTTCTAGACTGATAAGAATTTTGTGATAGCTGAAAGGCACTCCCCCAGAACACCACGTTTTCTCAGGCTGACTGATAGAGAGGATTTTCGTGTGTAAGCATGTACCTGATTCTGCTACTCAGCGATCTCCATTTTATTGATAAAGGCTAATAGTTTCGAAAGAAACTGTTTGGGGCTGCGTCGGTGGGAGTAACGAAATAATTTAAATATATCAACAAAGCTGAAGTGGTAAATTGGCCACCGTAACGATTACAAAAGCTGACGTTTCGAGCGTTAGCCCTTCGTCGAACCGAATCACAGTTTCTTTAGGAAAGTAGACGCGACAAGTAGATGAATAAAAACTGTAAGCCCATTTTATTGAGTCAGTAAATCAGTCTTCAAAATGGAAACTGAAACTGCTTTAACCTTAATATATCACAGATATGCTACTGATAAACGTCTAACGCTAATACCTTTTCAAATGGTCATAATTTGATTCGCAGCTGTACTACATAATATTTATCATAACGATTATAATAATAGGTTTAATAAAGGACCTCTCTGTAGATCACCTACAGGTGAGAGAGCTCCCTGTTTAAATACCATTATTATAAAGATGGTGACGATAATAATGATGATGATGATTATAGGATCATTATAGTAATGATAATAATAATGTAAACAATACTGCTTATGACAATGATAATGACAGATATATTTATAGAGTAATTATCAATTGAGTGTCCAAAATAATCCTAGATTGCATAAGTCTCCTTCGCGCCCGTTGTTTGGTCCCGTCATGCAACGTGGTGGGGGGTGAAACGTGACGAGACCAAAGAACTTGTTCGAAGGAGACTAAGATTGCCTTGGTTTTGTTTCTGTTTGCTCTCTGGTTAGTTTAGAAAACGATAGCTGCAAAACAGAACAATTCTTATGATATTTTCCTCTCTCTGATTTGCCGTTGTGATTTATTTTCCCATGGTTTACGACATTCAATCGAAAAGCCCTTAAGGTTACATCATTTTTCTGCAGCGTGCAGCTGTAGCACAACTGGATCCAATAATCCTGATCAGTGTGACAGAAATAGTGGACAATGTTCCTGCAAGCCTAACGTGATTGGTCGCACTTGTGATCAGTGTAGGCCGGACTATTTTAACTTCACCTCTGCTCAGGGTTGCCAACGTATGGCAATTCGTGATATGTAGTATGCGCCAACTTCAGGTGGCTGAACACAGTTTTTGATACCTGTGTTTCTTTCACCATTTTCTCTAGCACCCTTGCTCTCTCGGTCGCCAAAACTGGCAGCAAGCAAGTTAACAACACAAACTTTGCTTTTTTTAGAGTTAAGCTGACGTATGTGTCATTGCCATGGCGACACGAATAAATATAAACAGGCCTTTGAAATCACTTTGTTTATTAGTAGAAAATCTAGTTATTAGATTTTCTTTATAATTTGCATGCAACGAGCTTGTAACGATACTCACAAGTTAACACCATTTTGCTAACAATTTAACAGAGAGATCTTTAATTATCCCTTGTTAAAGGTTCACTCAATTATCTAGAATTTCCTGAGTTAAAAATCAATTTTTTTCAATACTCCAGTTACTTATTTCCTAAAGTATTTTCGTGCCAAATTTCAAGAAATTCTAATCAGTGGTTCTCAAGAAATAGGCATATTTCCGAGAAAGCAATTTTCCATTCGATCGCAATTTTTTTACATAGTACGCATACGCTGCATTTAACTGGGTTCTTTTGATAACGACGAAAAAGCTGAGAATTGCTGGGTTCTTTGCACCGTTAACTTATCTTACATGTCTTTGTAATAAAAGATTAAAGCCCTCAATACACTGCGCCAACCATAGAGAAAAAATAACACAGATAGTGCAGATACGTGTTGTGTAAATAAAATGACCGATCTATGGACAGCATGCTTGTTTTTTTGCAATCCTTGTGCGCGCCTGAATTGCATCAGCAAAAGCGTGCGCAAAAACTGTGTTTAGCCACCTTAAGTTACCTATAATAGATCAAAAGATTAAGATTTTACCCAGAGAACGTAAATTGAACATAGCGAAAAAATAAATGTTCCTGAGTATTTCATGGTGCCATCTTCGGTTAAAATCCGTAGGATGAAGATGGTAGGCTAGAATCATTTTGCAATGTTTAAGCGCGGCTTAACGAAAACCTGTAATGCTACCTTTCATCTCTCTTTAATATCAAAAGAAGAGACCCATATTTCTCAAAATAAAGGAAAACACTTGAGAAACCAAAACTTTCGAGGCCTTTCAGAGACTAGTTCTTAGATCTTTAATTTTTTTTTTTTTTTTTTACTTCTTTCAGCCTGAGCTTGTTTTTTACCTGGTGTGAAGGAAGACATCAGTGCACAGCACTCAATGTGACAATGATTCTGGTCAGTGTCTCTGCAACAGTCGTGTGACGGGAAGGACCTGTGATATGTGCCGTCATCCTTTCTTGAAAATAAGTTCCGTCAGTAAGGCAGGGTGTGTAGGTATGCTATAATTACTCAAAGGATACATACGCTCCAGAAACTATGGCACGGTTCTTTATCTCTATCCTTATAAAGTCTATACCAAATCACGACACTGTTGGCGTTTTGTGTTTTGAAAGAGCAAACTAATGTTTTCGTTAATTGTCTTCAAATGTACTTGAAATAAGACCATAGGCTCCATCATTGTAAAATTCGCTTAACAAGTTAGCCGTTCACCAAAAACGAAACAGAGTCGTACGCCTCTTCTTTCCGTCTCAATTTTTTAATCTTGCGCACAACTTTGGCTGCTTACCTGTGAAGCGAGAGAGTCGTGCTCCAATATTTTCCGTCGCTTGGCAATGGCGATCTATTTAAATGATCATTGGGAACTGTCTAAAAAGACAAAGCGTTTTTTCTTTTTGTTACCGCGTGCTGTGGTTCATTCTGTTAATAATGAGGTGATCACTCGTAGACTTTCTGTAAGTGCTCACCTCATACCTTGCTCAAGTGTGCGCTTTTTAGACTCGACAAAGTGCACACTTTGAGATCGGTAAAACTGTGCACCTCAAGACATTTGAAGTGCTCAGTTTTAAGTTTGCCCAGATATGCGCCTGAAGCGGAGTTCTTTACGTGCATCATGATTCCTTTAGATTTGATGAAGCGCTCACCTTGATACTTAAAGTGAATACTGTAAGATTTGTTCAGTAGAGTGAACACTTTTGAATTTAAGGTGGCCACTCTAAGACTTATTTTAGTGTTCATCTATTAAGACTTGCTCAAGTGATCACTCTTTGACTTGGTAAAACGTCGCATCTTAAGACTCTTTTGAATGCTCACTTATAAGCTTGTCAAGGGGTGTACTTGATGAATCCACGCAGAGCCCTTCTTCAAACCCTATGAAGTGACTGCCGTAACACTGTTAAAGTGTGATCCTCAAGACTCTCTTTAAGTGTTCTCTTTTTTAGACCTATTAGATCTTTTTAAGGGCTCATTAAGTGCGAACTTTAGAACTCATTTAATGCGCACTAAAAGGTTCTCTGAGATGGGGACCTTTGCGAGTCTTAAAGTGCAGACTTTAAGGCTCGTAAAAGGACGCTCTCTGAAACTTTTGTAAGTAGATACTTGGAAATGTATGACTTAAGCCTGTGAGACTTCTTCCCTTGCTCCTCCTTTGCTTTACTGTAATGTCGTTCTTCAGTTTCTTTATTGTGTTTTGTTATTGAATCTCCAAATTTTACTTTGTTTAGCGGTATTTTACTTTTCAGTCCTCAAGTACTCACTTGTGATGCTTGGTCGCACAACAATACGAAGGACGTGGAATCCAGCTCAGCGAATGACGAGGAACACTGATACTCGTTTGTGTTTCTGAAGACAAAAATAATTACCAGTGCAGCAGAACGGTCTTTTCAACTGGTTTTGGTGAAAAAAGCAACACGGTTATTTTGATAAAATTATGAAAACAGCCATCATTACGTATCCTAACTTATAGCTAAAATGTTCTTTGTATACAGATGTACTTTCTGTGTATTACTTACCGTGAATTCATTAGTACTTCACTCTCCTATTATTTTTTGGTTTTTGTTTTCTTTAAGGATGATGCATTAACTTGACGTCGGAAAATCCTGACCAGAGTTCCTGTTTGAGTGACTTGACTGGCACCTTGAGCGTTGTTAATATAATGTTTACTGATTTATTAAGTCGTTGTTTTACCTAGTCAAAGTTTTTGCCTTTAATGAGACATGCGCAAAGCATTAGTAAGTCAAACGTGACTGTAATCAGGCTTCTCGCGCGAGAACCGACACGTGATTATAAATAAAGGGTTGAAAATGCGTGGTCTTTTTCGGTTTTGCTTTGTTTCGTTTTGTTTTGATATTTATGTACGTTCATTATACTTCTCACTTTCTTCCTTTTGGGTAAAAGAGGAAATACCGTTTCCAGGGTTATTTATGAAAATTCACTCAGATGGAGCTCGACTGGAGTGCATTGAGGTGGTTTTGTTAGTTTGGGGTTGATTATTGTAAAGTGGGGTGCGTTGTGGTGGATTGGAGTACATTCGGGTCAGACAAGGCGTTATTGTTGATTGGGTTGGATTAGGGCTAATTAAGAGAACGGGGAATTAGAGTGGATAGGGGCCAATTGGCTGCAATTAGAGTCGTTTGGGATGAATTGAAGTGGATGAGAATTGATTGGTGAGAATTTTTTAGTTGTTCCAGATGTATCAGGAGAATTGGAGTTGATTGCAGTGAGTTGCGGTGAAAGGAAAGTATTGAGGTGGATTAAAGTGGATTGGTTATCGATCAGAACCAGCGGGAGTGGGTTGGAGAGATTAGAGTGAATAGCAGTAGATAACGGTGACCTGGAGTGGGTTGGGATTAAAGTAGATTGCACCTTGAAGCTACGAAGATACGCAACCTGTACTGCACAGGCCGAGAAACTAGTTATTCTAGCACTTTAAGAGTGACAAACATGAAGAATTTGTGGATGAAATGAATCTCACTTTTCCTGTAAACAACAGCTTTAGCCATCATCAGCTTCATTTGATAAGACTGAAAAAGGAGATTAAAGGAACTACTCAGGATTTGGTGAATACAGTACAGTCGAACCTGTGTTAAGCGTTAACCTTGCATTATTAAGCGGTCGATTGTCAAAGTCCCAATATTTTTTCCCCTATAATCGCTGTAGTTTTCACTTCTATTTGAGCGGTCAGCTCTTTTGGGCGGTCGTGGTCACCAAGCGACCTGTGACTGCTTAATACAGGTGCGCGGACTGTAAATCAGTACTGCTGGTGCTAGGTGAAGTCCTTTCCTTATCAATCGCTCGCTTAATACGGAACCTTCCAAAGAAACCTCAATAAAGGAGAACTCAGGGATTTGAGGTTAGTTGAAGAGCAGGTTATAACATCAACGAATGCCTGGGCTAACTGTTTTCCCTTATNCATTTGGTCTGTACCAGCGACCGAGGTCAAGATTCTCCCATACAGACCAACCTAGCTCAGTTAATAAGATGTTTAATATATGGCTGTGTCTTATATACCAATTTTTTATATTCTTTGTACCTTTTTTTTCTAGACCGGTCTAGATGCCGGTCTAGATGGGAAAATCTAGACCGCTTGCAATATTGATTTCAGCCAATCAAATTCGTGAATTCGGTAGTTCCCAGTCCTTGTGAGACACAGCCATATAATAAAATGAGGTATTTGTACTTGTCTTGGGCATTATTTGTACTCTACAGAGTATAGATGTTAAGTATTATACTTAACGCCTCTTAGTCTGAGGCCCTCTACATGCATAACCAATTTTTTTTTGTACACCCTGCCTCTTGATAAGTATTTAGCCTCATGACCCTGTATTACAAAAATGTATCTTGGACCTGGTGCATAGCCAAGAATTTCACTTTCCATTATTCTTGTTGCTGATAACTTCCTTCTTGTCTGAGGTTAATTGTATTTTTCTAAGGAAAGTTTAATGTCAGTAAGTTGAGCAGCTAAGTATTACTTTTTTGAACCCTTTCCCTAAGCAATTAATGTATGCATGTCTATTTATAGCTTTCATCAATAATTTATTTCAAACAGTTACACTCGTTAAAGTATCATTGTCTTCAAATAGAAAATGAAATAGAAGCATTTTGTTTTTTCCATAATCTTGATACATGCATTGTAATAATTTATATTTGTTATGAATGCGACAGGTGGTGCCAACTTGCAAATAATCATCAAAGCATGTAAAGTACTCCTGAAATTTTCTCTTTTGGAATTGGAGAGAAAAAGAGAATCAAATCAACCCTTTGTGAAGGTATAGTTAAACTAGATGAGAAACACTTTCTTCAAGTATTGTAAATGACATTGTGATTTTAATGGGAGAGAGCAAAATAAATATATGCACTGCAAACAAGTCATTTTGATGTGGAACTTGGCTAAGGCAAAGGTTTAAGAAAAAATTCAAGACACTTGCTTTGCAAATCAGATAAGAGTTTTAAATGTCTGCTTTCCCCTAAGAGTAGCTATATCATGGAATATTCATCATTTTGATCTTATGTACAAACCTTTTACTGGTACTTTAATCAAAACTTTTTAAAGTGTGATATTAAAGTTGCAAGTTAGTGTATCCAAACATCTTTTTTCCTTAAACCTAAACATTAATTTTTACCAAGGTAGCAATATGAACACTGTGTCATGTGATTGACACTCCAAATACATTTTTTCTATCATTATGTAGAAACATTATTTAGTATCCATCATTGAAGGACTTTGCAAAGGACATGGTTGTCTAAAGAGAACAGAAATTGTCACTTTTACGGCAATCTTGAAGTCAGCTAATGTGTTGAAGGCTACTGGCAGTGCAGCAGAAATACAGAAGGATACATGCCGTAGTCAGGGTGAAGACTTTTTTCAAAGGCTTCAAACAGCATTTACTGAGACTGGAGAGGGTCATCCAAGCTTCATCAAAGACAAAAGCAGGTATTCTGCAGTACTTTCCAACTATTTCAAGTTCTTAGATTAATCAATTTGATACTTGTAACAGGGGATGTGAATAATAAAATTAAATGCAATTTGTGGTGGTTAGCTTGTAAGGCATTACCAGTAAAGTAACCATTTGTCTAGAGCATGCATCATTAATATTGAGATTGGAGTCCCAAAGATAGCCACTGACTAATATGAAATGCATTGGATGTAACCTGCTGTTGACAGCGGTAGGTATATGTACAGCTTTTAGATCTTACAGTGAGCAGAAGATACTTGGAATTTTGTGAGGTACAACACCACTGTACAGTGTATCAAGCTAAGCTGACCAGTAAGAGGAAATGAAACTGGTTTGATACTCCTCTGGCTGAAAATTTAGTGAGCCACTCTGGCTTCTTCTTTGATGATTATTGTGCCAATTAAAAATTAATGAAGAGTTCATTGTGGTGTTTTAGAAAATCAATCTACATTATACAGGACATGTGTATTATGTTCCATTGTTTGTGCAGGACAGAAAATGAGAAGAGTTTGTCCTCTGATGCAAGTGGTACTGATGTCAAGAGCTTCTTTTCCAACTGCAATGTGGCAGCTCTGAGACAGCTAGGAGGTGGAAGAATTCTATTGGATCTGTGTCTCTCCTTGCCTGAATTTTCAAAGATTGCCTTCAAACCAGAATCATCAGCAACTTTGATTAGTTTGACATCCTCAAGGTGTGTTTTTGAACTTACAGTGCTCAAAGTTGCAAACAATCTAACTTTGGGTTATCTTAACCCAGCTCTGGGTTAAGATGGTCCCAGATGGTCCCAGAACTGGGTCCAGATGGTAACCTATGTTTGGCAGTGAAATAGTGAGCTGTAATTTTGCATGCATTGCAAGTACAGTAATTTTTATGGGTTAAAGTCGATTCCATATACAAGTGCTCTGTCATTGTGTCCTTCCCTGGGTAGGGCAAGTGTTTCAAACCACTTTAAATTACCCTCACGTGGTTGAAATTATATTGTAATACCTGTGGTATTTTTTATTCATTTGACTTATTTTCATATCATTATTTGGACTTCTGCTTGTACAGTCACGTAGATGTCTTTCAAGTACTTGGAATTTTAATTTTCAAGTTAATTGTTTCTAAAATAGTTACATGTAGTTTTAATTGATTAGATACAGGTCCCCGCAGGCCCATAACTGTAAACTTTTCCTGTTTTAATAAAGACTATGATGATGGTATTCACTAATCATTGCTTTTTTTTTTTTGATATGCACAAAATGAATTTGTAAAGTTCTTGTTGCAGTATTCAGGGACTTTCCTCTGAGCTTTTGGTTGTGTCCAGCATAATTTCCATTCCAATATTGGAACCCCTCTCAGCAACCAGAGTGGAGAAAGTCTGTCAGCTGGCATTAGGATGCTTGGATGTGGCTCTCACAATTGCTACAGGAAACTTCAACATAGTAGGAGCTGCAGGTAACACCTGTTACTGTAACATACATCCTAATGCATGTAAGTGGGGGTGATGATGA